AGCCAGAAGTACCACCGATCAGCCTGATGTGTCTTCAGAGAATCTGCTTCGTAGGTCCGGTCGTTGTGAAGCTCACCTTGAATGGAAATATGTGTCCAGTGAGGAGGTTATAAGTGAAGTGCGGGCCATGAAAGCTTCAAAAAGTAAAGATGTGTTCGGCCTATCGGGTTACATAATCCGGTATATTCTGAGTGCAATATTGCTTCCTTTGGTGTTGTGTATCAATGCGATTTTTAGGGAGGGAGTTTTCCCAGAAGTGCTGAAAATAGCACGAGTGGTTCCTATTCACAAAAAGGGTTGCAAAAGTGATGTCAAGAATTATCGACCAGTGTCATTAGTGCCTATTTTAGGTAAATTAATTGAACGGATTGTAAAGCACCAGGTATGTACACACTTTGATAGATTTAAGCTTTTTTCTGCATGTCAGTTTGGTTTTCTGAGTGGAAGGTCAACTACGGATGCCATTGATTGCTTTGTTTCTGGGATTTTGGAAGCTTTTGAGGGAAGGAGTCTTGCTCAGGTGACTGCGTGTGATTTGAGCAAGGCTTTTGATTGTGTCGATCATGGTCTCTTGCTGTGTAAATTGGAGCACTATGGCATCCGTGGTTGTCCTCTCCAATTTTTTAAGTCTTATTTAAGTGGTCGTTCACAGTTTGTTGATGCAAAGGGTGTGCATTCCAGGTGCATTGAAGTTAAAACTGGGGTTCCCCAAGGCTCGGTCTTTGGTCCCCTACTCTTTTTGATTTCTGTCAATGATTTACCACTTAGTATTGAGGGTTATCAAACCACAATGTTTGCAGATGATACAACGTTCCTAACTGTTCACCCTGATCTCAATAGATTAAAGTTATCTGTAGAACATACAATGAAACAAGCTGGGGATTGGTTTAGTGCCAATAAACTCCTTCTTAATGTAGACAAGACACAACACCTAGTTTGCCATACTAAAAACAAAGATTTGGGCTCAGGTGTAATTTGTAAAGAGGTTAGGCCCATAAAAGTCCTGGGTGTGTTGATTGACAGCAGCCTTTCTTGGTCAGCTCACATTGATTTAGTATGTTCAAAACTGTCAAGAGTTATTTATTTAGTGAATAGGTTAAAAACTGTTGTTTCTGAGAAATATATCCGAGTAGCCTATTTTGCATTTTTTCAGTCAGTGTTAAGCTATGGTCTGATTCTCTGGGGTAATGGTAGTAATATAAGTGATGTTTTGTTACTTCAGAAAAAGGCACTTAGAATAGTAACCAAATCAGCTCTCAAAGCCCATTGTAGACCTTTGTTTATAAAAACTAGGATATTGACTGTCATTAACCTGTACATATATGTGTGTTTACTTGATGTTAAATTAAAATTAGGAGACTTGGCTGTTAGAAAAGATTTCCATTCTCATTACACTAGATCTAACTCTCTACTTGAAATTCCGTCCCATAGACTAAGTAAATGTGCCAGTAACCATTCAATCATGAGCTTAAAGTTATTCAATGTATTGCACTCTGAGTCAAGAGCGTTGCCTGAGTTGGTTTTTAAAGATAGGCTATACAACTGGCTTGTTGAACATCCTTTTAATGTGATTAAAGAGTTTTTTGATGTAAAAGTTGTTAAGTTTTGATGTTTAATAGTTTATTTAGTATATTCTCCACCCAGCCTACAGCCTTCTTTTTACTTATTAAACTTTTAAATTTTTACCTGTTATTGTCTGTGATATTAGCTTATTAATCTAGTCTGACTGGGTTACTGTGTAACCCTATTTTACCATAATATGTGACTATGTCTATTGCAAGATTGTATTGCTTAAGGACAATAAAGGATTTCTGATTTCTGATTTCTGATTATATGGCATAAAAGTGCACTTACATGTTGGTATCCCAATTTTGTCCGAAAACCCAAAATGGGTTACTTTGGGGGCAGCTGAAAATATTTAAATTTATATCCCCATCAAGTGACACCTAATTTTTTTTTTTTTTTTTGGAGGAGGTAAAAATGGATTTACGCGCACTGAGATGCTCAATGACCTCTCAGTAGTGCCGGACTCCCGCGGGCTCAATGTCCCCGGACTACCAGCTAAAAAAACCCTCTCATCTCCTAGGACACTAGCCTGTAACTGTTTAGCACATTATTTTGGGCTAGGCCTTTTAAACTACGCCACTGGAGCTTTCCTTCTTATTTCCTCAGAAAACTAAGGCCGATCAAGATTGACCTTCTTATTCCGAAGTATGGCCTCGATGAACTGCTTTACACAGTTCCAGGTTCCCTCCCCCTAGAGCATAGCTCCAACAATGTTGTCGGGAGTAATGTCGACGCCGATCTCAGATATCAGGGAGGCTCGGTGGACATGCCACCTGTTGTAAAAAAAGAAAGTGTGGTCATCCAAGTATGCAATGCCGGGACAGTACGGACAGTCCGGACTGACGGCCTTCCCCATACTGTGCAAAAAGGCCCGGAAGTATCCGTGACCCGACAAAACCTGGGTCACGAAATGCCCAACCTCACCATGCCCCCATTCCACTCATGGTCTGATGCTAGGAATGAGCCTGGCGGTCCAACATCCCCAAGACTCATTCGCGCAGCAAGCAGTAAAAACTGCAGGCGCGTTATTCTCTGGCAGCAGTCTTTCTGTCTACTTCAGATCTCCTGCGGTGGATCGCCTATCGCTCACTCGTGAGATGGAAGATGGGGATGAAACTGGCAATCACCATGACTGCAGGCTCGGAGACCGTGGGGTAGGCGGAAGGAACTCGCAAGGCCCCTCGACGCTGAAGGCGGGAGAGCCTGTCATAGAAGACACACCTCTCCAGCACACGGGCCCAGACCTCAGCGCCTTACAAGAGTACTGATTGGACAGCAGACATCCCCCCCCCCCAGATGTTCCTTAGCGGCTTTGTCAACAGTTGGCTTAATTTGCTCTCCGAAAGAAATTTTGTTGTTAATCATAACACCAAGGTATTTGGCATACGGCTTGGTCTCCAGTTGGGCATATCCTACTTGCTCAGGAAGGACGGTGGGAATTCTCTTCTTGGTTAGGACCCCAATCTCTGGGTTTCTTTGACGGCCAGCGACAAGTGTGGTCCTGCAACCACTCGTTGACACGGAGCATCACTACACCAAGTTTAAGCTCTGCTTCTTCGATGCTTCTGCCTGCAACCAGAGCAGCGACGTCATCGGCATTGCCAACAATGCGGGTCTCGTCTGGCATTTTGAGTCTCAGCAGACTGTCGTAAGACGTATTCCAGAGATCAGGTCCAAGGATCGATCCCTGTGCAGACCTAGTAGTTATAGAGATCCGGCGCTGACCTTCGGTGGTGTCAAAAAGCAAGACACGGTCTGAAAAATAGGACTCGATCATTCAAAGGATGTAAGGAGGAACGCGCAATGTATGCTCAAGCGCTCGTAGCATATCGCTCCACCTGGCGATGAAAGAAGAGCGACGAGGAGAACCAATTGGCACGACTAGTGACTGTGGTTCTCTGCAATGCCTCAAATACCTCTTGAATGGCGTCAATGGTCGAGTGACCGGAATGAAAACCGTGCTATTGCAGGAAAAATCACCCGCAGAGACGATAGCCTTGGTGAGCCTGACACAAATTAACTTCTCCATCACTTTGCCGATGTAGGGACACCTCATTTTAAAGGCCATTAGTTAAAAAAAAAACATTGGTAAAAAACTAGAGGTCTCTATCTCAACCCGTTACAGAATGAAGACCATTTTTATTTTTCATCAGCCTGAAACCCCACGTAAAATATACATGAATATTCATATCCCCTCTTGACGTTTGTAGGGGTTGTGCCAGGGAAACTTAACTCAGTGCAGGACCCCAAATGGGGTATTTTGGGGGCAATTCAAAAAATTAAATATAAAGCCCCATCAAGTGACACCTCATTTTGAATTCCATTAGTTTAAAAGAATATCGGCAAAAACTAGAGGCCCCTTTCTCAATCCAATACAAAATGTCGGCAGTTTTTAGTTTTCCTCAATCTCAGAGAAACCCACTTAAAAATAAACATTAATATACTCAATTAACATTTTATCGTGTTCTAACCAGGAAAGCTTATCATAAGGAAAAGAGTGTACTTTTTAGTAGGTAGGTATCACAGTTTCCCCTGGGAACCAAAAATGAAGTAAATTGGGGCAGCTCAAAAATGTTAAATGTAATGCCTAAAAAATAAAAACACCTGCCATTATCCATTGGGTTGAGAGTGAGATTTTGTTTTGAACTAATGGCCTTCAAAATGAGGTCACTTGATGGGAGCTTATATTTGAATATTTTGAGCTGCCCCCAAATAACTCATCTTGGATTTTTGGACAAAATTGGGATACCATCAATAGAGTGCGCTTTTATGCCATATAGAGGTGTGCAGAGTTTGGTTTTTCCTTGGTTAACCCATAAAAAGGTTAATGGGCGTTGTCCACTCTTTTGCCCAACCCTTTATATACATACACACGATACGGTTATATGAATTCCTGTAGATATATGAATTTGAACGCATGGTGTTTTTTGGCCTTTGGGGACATCAAAACGAAAAAGTAAAGAGATCCCAGGTCTAGGTTTTACCGTGAGAACTAGGTAATAGCTTATTCCCTATAAGGGAAGTTCACTAAAGGAGACTTTTGACATTCCAGTTTGAGTAATACACCAATAGATCCGAGTTGTGTAAATCTAGTATGTACAGTGACAAGATTAATGTGGGCTGTAAACCTGATGATAAATATATGCATTGTGACAGCAGGATTGTGTGTCCTTGTGGAATCTTTTGTCTAAGTAATTTTATGAATTTATCAAGGATGCAACTAAATGTATTTTAACCCACAACCCCCAAAGAAATGTTATTAGTTTGAAAATTCTATTTGACATCTAATGAAGCTACCTACCAGTACACAAATTAGAATTAGTAAGTTTTTGTCAACATAAAAGACATGTTTGATAGGAAGAAGTAAAGTGTAGCAGCACTTGTTCAACAAGTGCCTCAGGGAGTTGTAATTGATGTTAAAACAGCTTTAGTACCTGTCCTGGTTCAACTCAGCAACGTAGACATCGAAGACTCGGTCCAACAAGGAGATGTTGGTGGAGTCTGCAGCCTTGTTCAGCCCCACCAGCCGCTGTTGACAGCTGTTGATTACAGGTAACAGACGACGCTCTATATTGCCTGTCACAGCTATCCTCTCTAGAACTTCCTCCTGCTTACAGAAGCAAAATATTCGCTTAATTTACTTCTGTGTAGCTGGATCTGGATGCTACTTGGTCTTATCACTGTGAACTGTCTCTACTATGATTGCTATATCTTACTTTCCCTCAAGTTTATCAAGTTGTTATTGAACTGGTCCTTCCAGTTTTTTTTTTTTTTTTTTTACCAGTTTACAGTAACACTAAAATGTAGATTAAAATATGGAATCCCACTTCATAATTATTAAAGCGCACTAAAATGATCCCTTACATAGACAATAGACTAACAACTTTATCAGAAATTTCTTTAAGAAATACATAAGCGTCAAAATACATAGAATAGAAGCAAAATACTATCACGGAAAATGTTTACATACAATTACAATGTTTGCTGTGATTGTAAGATACACTTACAGACGCTGTCTAACCACGGGCGATGTTCGACATTGCAGCAATTGTGATGTAAAAACTAGGAAAAAGTTCTTGATACATAGTTTAAGTCTTGAAATTTATTAATGATAAAATAATTCATAGTGGGGGGACCAATGTTCACAATAGACTTGATATCGCATATCGAATTTTGGAAAAATTATGCTTGGATTTGAGATTTTAGACATCACAGTAAACAAAGAAAATCCCAAATACAGACATTGGACACTCAATTCGACAAACAAGTTGAGTTAGAAGAAAAAACTAACCATTCTTTTTACCTAGCATGAGAAGAAAATGGTTGGATTTTAAATCAGTACTTACCGTAAAATAATACTGATTAACCAAGTCGTTTTTGCCTTTGAATTGGAGTAAATCTTTTTGAATTTGGTGAAAATCAAATATCATATTTAAGTCTCTCAGAACTACTTCTTTCTGGGTGTTGAACAACGCATCGCACTGCTGTAGAGAATTGCCTTCTTCGTCATCACTAAAATAAAAAAGGCACATCAGTAAAATATTTAGTCAAACTAAAAAAAAAAGCTATACAAAAGCATTATACTTACTCTAATATCACACCTTATATCTGTACACACTGAACATCCAACATTCGCAATATTTATCAGAAATCTAGCAAGAAGTTTCAACAATAATTCTCATAGCTCATAGCTCTCATTCATCAACAACCAACATGTTAACAAAATGATTTCTAGTATCTAACACATCGGCTATGCCTTTAGGAAAGATCACAGCACTACATGGGTCTGAGGCTTTACAACAGTGTACCCGCTTATTTTAAGGACATCATGATATTGAAAAGTTGACGAAAGACTTCAAAACAGGCAAAAAAAAACGAATATTATACAATAGAAGAGTATCTAAATGACCATTTTTGAAAAGCGCCCATTTTAAATTTAATTTTAGTTTTAATATTGTTAACCAAGAATTGAGAATGTCATCCGTTTCACCAGTTTTGCTGGAAATGTTAAATGTTTTATGACAATAAAGTGATATTTAGCGAATTTCCTATATAGGGAATATAGCGAATTTCCCATATAGGGCATAAGCTATTATCGTAAGTCTCATGGCAAGACCTGGGCCCGGGACCGATTTATTTTTTGATTTTGATGTCCCCGGAGGCCAAAAACACTATTCCTTCAAATATATATAGGCTATATATAAGTCCGTGAACGTCATAACTTGAATCGTTTTTGTCCGTTTTTGATGAAATTTTTATTGAAGGTGTAGGGCAGGATTAACTTCAATGAGTTCGCGATCCAGCATGATCGGCCTAGGGGATGGGGATAGGGGTCATGGGGTAAAAATTGGTTTTTCTCATTTTTTACCCTCAAAACAAAAAATACCAATTTCTCTTGGTACCATTTTTTAGCATTAATAAACAAATAATTTAGTATATTTAAGCATTTATTACTGTTATTAGTCACGGGAAAAATTAAAGAAATCAGAAATTTAAAATTACCATGATACTTGACAAATAAACAAACGCTTATTTTATACTAAGATATTCTACTAAAAATCCCACTTTTTTACTATAGAATAATTAATTATTAAAACTCATTTTAAGTAACTCAATCAAAACTATTTATTTACAAAACAAAACAATAATGTAAACAAACCAAATAGCAGGGATGATTCATAACTTTATAACTCAGCTGATAACAATAATCCTACATTTCTCCCCACCCAATTTAGGCTGAGTTTCCGAAAGTATGTACATCATCATTTTCAGGTTCCATTTGCATTTTCCATTGGGGTGGATCAGTTGCACCTTCTCTTGCTCTCAGCTGGTCAGCGTGTTTTCTCTTTATTTCTCCCCCAACTAAAACTGTGTATGATAGCTCTCCTGTCCTTTCTTGTACAGTTCCTGGTCTCCAGCCCTTCTTCGTTTCATTTTGAACCCACACTTCTTGTTTGACAGAAAACTCATTTTGTTTAGATTTAAGTCGTGGTAGTACTTCTGTCGCCACACTTGATTTTCTATTCTCTCTCTGCTATTACACCTCCACCTATCCAAAGCTGTTGGTAATCTTCTACCATAGAAAAGGACTGATGGTGGTTGTCCTGTGGTCTTTTGTGGGGTGTTTCGATAAGCAAGCAACACTTGTAAAAGTGCAAGTGATGAACTGAGACCTTCTTGTTTGCAAGCACTGTATCTACTCTTGAAGGTTCTGATAATCCTCTCTACTAAACCATTGGTTTTTGGATGATACGGCGCCGATGTGACATGACATATGTTATTGTTCTTACAAAAAGTCTTAAACTCATGGGACGTGAAGGGGGTGCCATTATCGGATACAATTTTTTTAGGAACGCCGTATCTCGAAAACCAAGTTCTTAATCTATTTACAAGAGCAGCAGTTGTCGTACGGTCCATTACTTCGATCTCGACCCATTTTGAGTAAGCATTGATTCCTACTAACCAGAATCGGTTGTTAAATGGGCCTGCGAAGTCAAGATGAATTCACTCCCAAGGATCACTTGGCACGTTCCAAGGATATAGAGGTACTTCTGTGTCAAATGAGCGGTTACTCTGGCATGGGTGGCATCTAGGGACATACAACTCAACATCCTTATTCAGATTAGGCCACCAAACATAATACCTTGATAGGGACCTCATAGCCTCTATTCCAGGATGTCCTTTGTGGAGTTCTTTCAATACACTTTCTCTCAAAATCTGTGGCACCACAATTCTTCCTAATCGCATGATTATACCGTTTTCTAATGTCAGCTCTTCTCTCTTATTCCAATATGGTTTCATAGATGATGGTAAGTTTTCTGTATCTTTTGGCCAACCATGTTCCAGGTAGTCTATAAGTTTCTTCATATTTGGGTCAAATTAGATTTCATTGAAAATCCAATCAGGCAAATGGAAATTCGCTTAGTTTTCATTTCAGGTTTGCTGCGGCGGGGCGTATTATGGGGTAAGAAAAGGGTTTTCTCGTTTTTGCCCTCAAAACATGAAATTTCTCACTCTAGACCATTTTGAAAAGCTTAAAAAACAAATAGTATATTGAAGTGTTTTTGTATAGTTATTAATTACAGATAAAATTCAAAAAATTTTTAATTTAAAATTCCTATGTTATTCTTATGAAGGACTAGCAGAGTACCCGTCCTTCGTACGGGGTTAGCAAATACATATAAATGCAACTATACTCGATTTTTGCATTTGCAATGTGAGAAGACACAGTTTGAGAAAATTTGCTCCCTCAAATTTACGGTATGCTATAGTATTACACACCTACCATAGCCATAATGTTCTACTACTTCACCTACACAATAGAAAAAGATAGATTATTAAAAATTAGCAAAATGTAACACAAATTATTCATGAAATTAAAAACATAAACATAACTGTAAACAATCCTACTATGCAGTTCTCATTGCGTATCACTTTTTTTTTGCTGAAAAAAATAATAGTGCCCTGTTGGTAAATCTTATAAATTTTTAATGCTTTTGCATATCATAGAACCAACTCTTTTAGTTGAAACAGCTGGCTAAATTCTTTAATTCCCTTTAAATATGAATATTCATAAGGTTAACATGTCGAACAGCAGAGCCACTGGGGTGGAGCCCGAAAGGATTTTTGAGATAAGAATATGCCTATATGTTAATTGGGAATGTGAGCTATCATCACGCCAAATTTCAGCCCAATCCGACCTGTATTTTTCGCGTTTACTTGTCACAAACATACATACATCCATACATCCATACATACAAACTTTCTCATTTATAATATTAGTAGGATAAGTAAATTATTGTGTAGTTTGCTTATTTACGTATATATTTTGTTTAGTGATGGGCGGATCCAAGAAAATGTCGGTACTGGATCCGGATCCGGATCTTGAAAAATTCGGATCCGGATACACACTCTCATAAGGGCGGGTTAAAAAAAAAACTTTATTAACAGAATGCCAATTTAAATCATACTGTTTAAAATGAAATTGGTAATGTTTAAAGGTTAATATATCTTATATATAGAGTAATCTCCAGTTGAGCCTATAATACCTCATTTTTTGGGGACACTAACAATTTTCAAAATCATAAAATGCACTAAGTTTGCACGACCACCAAAAGAGTATCTGTGTATATTTTACTATAGTTCGATCTTGAGTATGCTATATCGTGGTTTTTGCATGCAGCATCCAATTTATTTATGCCTGGATCACCTCTTCCTTTATCTCTTCCTTAAATTCGTTGCAGGTCCACAGTACTGATAGCCGGGTATGTGAAGTTCTACAAGTAAAATACCCCGTGTCTGTGTACAAGAAGTCTATACTGTGTTCTAACTTAAAAAAATATTAGATGGGGGAGTCTTGACTTTTTATTCACCCTGTATGTACACAGATAATCTTCTTGTACACAGACACAGGGTATTTTAAAGTGATGGTCAAAACCCGAAACTTCGAGATTTTTTAAAAATATTTTTAATCTCAAAGCATCGGGTGGGAATGAAATACTAACGGGATATTTTCGAGACGAGATTATAGGCCGTTAGCTAATCATCCAGGTACAAAACTATAAACTAGAGGTGTGCAGATATCCGAAAAATTGGGTTGGATTCAGTTCGGATAGATACATGCCCTTGCCATATAAGTTATTTGCATCAAGAGACAAACACTGAGTCATGGCCTTCCCATATAAGTTATTTGCATCAAGAGACAAACACTCAGGGAAAAAACGGTCTTGTACATAGATACAGACAGCTTTTTGTTAGTAAAAAAATCGGGGTTGTACAGTGATACAGACAGCTTTGTGTCAGTAAAAAAATTGGGGTTGTACAGTGATACAGACAGCTTTGTGTTAGTAAAAAATCGGGATTGTACAGTGATACGGACTGCTTTGTGTTAGTTAAAAAATCGGGGTTGTACAGTGATACAGACAGCTTTGTGTTAGTAAACAAATCGGGGTTGTACAGTGATACAGACAGCTTTGTGTTAGTAAAATAATCGGGGTTGTACAGTAATACAGAAAGCTTTGTGTTAGTAAACAAATCGGGGTTGTACAGTGATACAGACAGCATTGTGTTAGTAAACAAATCGGGGAAAATCGGGGTCGTACAGTGATACAGACTGCTTTGTGTTAGTAAACAAATCGGGGGAAAATCGGGGTTGTACAGTGATACAGACTGCTTTGTGTTAATAAACAAATTGGGGTTGTACAGTGATACAGACTGCTTTGTGTTAGTAAACAAATTGGGGTTGTACAGTGATACAGACTGTTTTGTGTTAGTAAACAAATCGGGGTTGTACAGTGATACAGACTGCATTGTGTTAGTAAACAAATCGGGGGAAAATCGGTATCTTACATGGATACAGACAGCTTTGTGTTAGTAAACAAATCGGGGGGAAATCGGGGTTGTACAGTGATACAGACTGCTTTGTGTTAATAAAAAAATCGGGGTTGTACAGTGATACTGTTCAACCTCTATGGTTATTTAATTATTATTTAACCGTATGTTTTTACTTACTT